GTGTGTGTGTGTGTGTGTGTGTGTGTGTGTGTGTGTGTGTGTGTGTGTGTGTGTGTGTGTGTGTGTGTGTGTGTGTGTGTGTGTGTGTGTGTGTGTGTGTGTGTGTGTGTGTGTGTGTGTGTGTGTGTGTGTGTGTGTGTGTGTGTGTGTGTGTGTGTGTGTGTGTGTGTGTGTGTGTGTGTGTGTGTGTGTGTGTGTGTGTGTGTGTGTGTGTGTGTGTGTGTGTGTGTGTGTGTGTGTGTGTGTGTGTGTGTGTGTGTGTGCGTCTCAAAATGCGGGGACGGCTTCCTTTTCTTTCCCCTTCTAAAACACACATCATAAGTATAAGAGAAACAACTCGAAATGAGAAAGCAAACACAAAATCAAGCCGCAATTTAACATTGCAAAAGCCGTTGCGACAGCAGAGGACGCTGTCGGATAGACCAAGCTCGGAACGGCCCCTTATATCTCGCGCTAAAGACTTGCGCATGACATTTGGCAATTGGTAGAGCCCACCTTTTTTGCCGCAAGGCAGACCCTAGATCATGTTCTTCTGGAACCCCCCGCCCCCCATGGAAAGCCACCGGTTCTGGAAGAAAAGAAACGCAACGCACTCCGCCTTGGGCTTTTTGCACTCGTCCACCAGCTGCAGCACATCGCCCCGCAGGCCATTGACCTCCACGATGCGGTCCTTGGGACGCAGCGCCTGGCGGAGCGAAAACTCGGGCCCTCGGCGAGTCGAGAACACACGGTTTGGGTGCGATGTGCTTTGCTCCTTTCGAGGGTCAGCCCTGTGGCTTGGTAGACTTGTACTCTTGGAGTCCTCTAGTACTCTTGTGGAATTCGGCTGGAATACTCTTGGGGCTGAAGCCATAAAAGCAGCATCCAAACCGTTCCCCCTCCTTTCCAACATTCATTTTGTTTCATACTTCCTGAAACCAAGGGGACATGTCCGCAACTGCAAACACGAGTCCGTTCTAAAATGCACCCTGTGGAAACACCCAAATGCCGTTGGCGGAATTGTCTGTCGCCCAACTTGGAGAACTAGATTCCAACGGTTTTCGCTGCGTGTTGCGTCTTGTGGCCGCCACTTTGACCTACGTTGCATGCTTGGAACACCCTCTGACTTGCTCAGTGGACACAAACGCCAAGGGAAAGTTGCAGCATTCCCGCGTAAGGTTCAATAAACATTTATGACACTGTTCAAAGGACTCGACAAGTCGTTCAAAGCAGTCCACGCAAACGAAAAGGTACACACAGACCACGCCTGAAGGCAAGAGGGCAAGAGGGCAAGAGGGCAAGTCGCAAGTGCGGCCCGCCTTTCCACTCCCTGGACCTGTTTTGTGATCTCCATGTTGTAAAGCCTCGTTGGGCCCGAAAAGTCAAAAATCGAAAAAGAGGCGGCCCAGAAATCAGAAGGCGCTTGACGCCTTGTTGCCCACACAGGCGCCTTCTCCGGGTGCTCCTCGTTCCACTTCTGGATCAAACCACCGGTGATGGCGTCCACAGCCAGCGTCCGGCCGTCCTCACGTCCACGGACTTGGTGTGCCACAAGATGCCCATGCCTCAAGAATTTCGGGCCCCCAAGGCAATTTTTGGGACCCGTCCTCGTGATCGACATCCATGCCAAGTCGCTCGCCGCTGGTCTTGTCCTCACAGACCGCCCCAAACCTACTGAGTTACTGACCTGTGTGTAGCATCCTATGCGTAACCTTGCTCTTATCTGACTGGGATCCAACGCAGTAGACAGCTCACAGGTTGGCCCGGCATTCCCCGTGTAGTGATTCGATCGAGCACAGTCATTCCAGTTCTCGACTGGCCATGGAGTTAGGGGGTGCTGTCTAACTTGGTTCTAAGCAGGCAGCCAGGATGATCACGAACTCGCCCTCCTCAGCACGGAACTAGCACAGCTGTTGCCATCTTTTGTTTAATAGCCATGATTCTTTCCCCGCCAGACTGCACCGGCGCAAGCCCGGCGCGAATGCCAAGGGAGTGCGGATGAGGGGAATGTGACACCTGTGCTCTCTTGGATGAGAAGGCCACAAAAACACGCCGCTTGAATCATGCCTCGCAGCGCACTTCCTTCACATCCGTTCCACGTTTATCAAATTTTGAAACCAAGCAGAGAGGCTTCCCAAACAAACGCTTGTCATTTTGATGAATGACCATACGATATGGGTGTTCAAATAGGGGGAGATGGGGGGAAACCCCCTCCTGCGGGCTTTTTTCCACCTGGGAATCCTGAAAGCCACACAGAAGCTACGCCTTAGACCGCGCCTCTTCCTCCCCCCTTATCATGGCAGGGAAGCGTGGGACCCGTTGCGGCGAAAAGCTCGTTGCTGCTGAAACAGACTGGTGGAACCCTCCCGTCTCTACCGGTGAAGAGAAAAGCAGGGCTCGTGCCTTGTCTCCCCACGTCTCAGACCCATTCGCCGTGAAACGGGCATCCCGGCGCGCAGCGCGGGGCCGGCATCCTGGCACCCGCGGTGATATCACTGGCAAAAGTGGGAACCCTACCCCTGACTTTGCCCAAACTGCCGGCTTTGTTCTTACCAAAGCGGGAAAGGAAAAGAAGGACAGCCACTTCACTCGCTTACCTCAGATTAAATGCTTTCCCAGAGGCAAGAATGAAGTTGATTGGCTTTCTGAATCCTTTTGGTCGCTACAGCGGGTTAATCCTGATGTGGGCTCTCTTCGTTCACCATATTCTGTCCCTTCCTCCACGCGTTAACTCTGTCTCTCCAACTCGCTCTCTGGCATATTGTTGTTACAGCGGCTTAATCCTGATGTGGGCTCTCTTCGTTCACCACATGTCCTTGATTGCCATCCTCACCAATCTTTTCCCTTTCAATCACCAACCTGATGAAGAGACAGGTGGTGATGGGAAAAGATAGGACATGCTGACTTCGGAACATGTCCAGAGGAAAACCGAAAAGGCCCCGATGGGCTTTTTGCGGACAGCTTGGGATCCCTCTCACGTCTCCCTTTTCAGTTCCCGTGAGAGCCATCCCAGGTGACACAAACTAAACTGGGTCGCGCTGAATAGGAAAGGGCCACGCAACAGCCCAAAGAGGATGATCCCGCTAGGCGCCTCTACCACTTGCGTCTCGGGCGCGGTTGGAGCGGCATCCTGGTGTCGCAACATGCGAAGGGCGGAGTGAACCACAGTGTCCATTTTCAGGGGTCCCCCATTTTGTGGGAAACACCCTCTGTGATCCCCCCCAGGTGTGCTGCAATTCTGGGGTGTCGACTCCCTTAAACGTGCCCGTGGTCTGCATTGACTGTACAAATTTACATGAAGATCCGAGCTGGCAGCTGCTAAAACTGGTTGAACTTGATACTTCAAAATCAAATTGAGTCATCATCGTACACAATGTGAATAGTTGGGCATGATTCTTAATCAGGGACCCTTGCCCTCCCATCTACAACATTAAACCTCACAGAGCGGGGGGGGGAAGCCCATTTTCCTCTAAAGGGGACCTAAAATGTTGATTTAACTCCTCGCCTTCTGCTCCAGCTCGAGCTTGTCGGTGTCCTCCTTGGAGCAGCAGGCGCCCATGCCTCGCATTACTTCGCATGCTGTGAGCCGGGGCTTGGGTGCAAAAAGCGGCACCCCCCAAAAAATCCTGAGAAATTGTGGTTTTCCAAGAATTGGTGGTTGGCCTTTGGTTTCCCGTGACACCAACCTACAAAGGGTACTTCGCCGGAGAAAAACACCTGCCCAAATATACGAGGTCTGCGTGAAAATGGGGTTAACCCCCTGCTTGCATGGGTCAGGGACGCCTCAAGGAAGTCAACAGAAACACCCTATCCTCATTGGTGCAATGGCAAAAAACATGAAAGCCAAGTCAGCAACACATGCGTTTTGTGGCAAAAGGCTGGCTGCAACCATCGAGGCCAACTCCTGAAAAGTCGCAAGCGCGTGATGTGCGAATATGTCCAACTGTTGGTCGCGAAGCAGAGTCCTTGCTTGCCAGTTGACTTTTGCATTCCCTCGGACGCACGCAGGTCTAAGAGGGAGTCTGACCGATCTCCCTACAAGTATACATACATCAGCGGCTAGCAAATGCGCTTCTCCCATGCTGAGAACATGAGAGGCGGACATTCCGAGTTTAATATGCCAGATCACCGCTTGTTACGGCAAGAAATACCTAAGTCGTGACTAGGTGGTCCAACAAAGCCAAGAGGCCCCCTCAGCCCATCTAACTTCCGCTGTCCAGGGAATGCGATGCATCCGTGGAAAACGGGCTCAGGCCACTCTGAAACATCCGGCCTTCGAGCGGAGGATCCGCAGACCAGCAAACGAGGAGTGCCGAGAAGGGGCGGGCTGAGCCAAACTGCAGCGAGCAACTCCACGTGTTGGTCTGCAGATATTCAGATATGTTTATTCGGGGACGCTTTGATGGACATATTTAAATGGGGGAGGAGGGTTTATGTCCACCAACCATTTTTGAGGGTGGTCCCCTAAGTTCATTGCCATCTGGGCTGCCTCCAAAGTCGTGAAGCCATCTCCAAACGCACATGCGTTTAAACGCAGCTGGGGTCAGCTCCCCAAGGCCCCAGTTGGTAGGTGGCCGCTTGGACTCCCACGCCTTTAGGATAGGCAAGCCTCACTGCTTCCTGAACCCGCAGGTTGGCGCGAATACCAGAGCGGGATTTCTTTGGCCATTCGCCTCCAAACAAAAAAGACATGTCCTGTTTTCAAATCCATTGCGAGCCAGGGGGACCTTTCGGCTGGGATCAAATCCATCCAGTTTCAACGCGTCAGGGCAGCCAAACCCAATTTAAGGCTGACGCCAATACTGGGCCAGGAAAAACCAAGCTTCTTGGTTCGCAAAACGCAAGCTTCAAAAGGCTCAAAAACGGGGGCACGTCTTCGAAATGTTTCGAATTGGGATTGAACCCAACTTGCCGAATTTCAATGGCCTCTACGGATTGCCCCCTATGGTTTCCTAGGGAAACCCCTTCCGGTTCAATGGGTTGGGCACCAGAAAAAAACCAAGCGACTCGCGCGCTGACGCCTCCTGGAGCTGCTGATGGCTCTTCTCCTCACTCTGCTGCGCCAGAAGCCTTCGGGCCTCGCATGCAGATCTCGAGGGACTGGAGTTTCTCGACGGCGGTTGGTTCGGCTCATGGTTCGGTTTCGAGGGAACTTGGGCGGTTGTCTTCTCAAGGGAACTTCTGGGCTCCTTCCAAGCTTTTGGGCTATACAAGAGCTTGGGCAGCCATGCAAGCGGCACGATCCTGTTTCTGTGATGTTTAAACCGAGTGACGGCTTGCCGGGTCCGATTCGACCAGCAAATGCTTGCGATCCATCTGCCACAACCAAACCCCTCCAACACAACAACCCCCGCCCCGGTCCAAACACAAGAAAAGTCCGCAAATGAGACCCATCACCCAAATGCTCCTTCTGGTGAGATCAACTGTTCAAATACTTGGCCATCCAAAACACACACACACACACACACACACTGCCCCCCGCCCAGCAAATGAACTCGCCACGCCTGTGCCCGGATCAGCTTCTCCTCGATCTCATGGGACTCCTCCTGTGCGAATCGGGTCATGGGCTCAGCGTTGGAGCCGCGGGTCATGTCTCACAAGTAGGGGGACCCCCCCGCCGAAGGGGCGGTGTCCTTTTCGTTTCCCTTCTAAACAGATTGGGCCCGCCGATGTTCCGCCAAGGACAGAGATGTTCTTTCGCCCAGCATCAATGCATCTGGAAGCTTCCCCAACCCATAAGTCATAGCTTATAACTCGAACGGAACACGCTGAAGCTGATGAAACCCCTACATCGCTAAGCACTCTTGCCCCAGGGAAAGGGAGATCAAAGGTTTTACCCTTTTGGAACCTCGACTCGGAAAGACCAAAGTTGGAAGAAGATCCAAAGGTCAATTCGCAGAGATAAACCGGCAAGCAAGAAACCAGGGCTTGCCCACATGGGACCGGACATGTGGCCAGAGACCATCTTCCTTTGGATGGCACCAGGTGCCAGCGATGGCACCGGGTCCTCGGAGATCTCGCCGCTGGCCGCGCGCTCCGCGACCTGCTCTGCCTGCCGCAAGACTCTTTTCTGAGCAAAAAAAAAGGGGAAAGGCTAAGGCTCCCTGGCCTTCGGAGGGGTCCTGAAATATGCCCCAAGAGAATGGGGGAAGCCCTTGCGACATCTGGTTTATTGATGGGCTCTGCGATCTGGGTGTGTGAGGGAACTCAGGAAGGCGCCCACTTTGGGAGCCTAAGTTGAGACACACGCATGGTATATCATAAATCCCCTTTAATCATCACCTCCACGAAAGGATGCACAAATACAAATGGTCAAGAAGTTAAGGCTGGCCAAAACTAAAACAAAAGGCGTCATAGCCAGGCTTTTGGCTGATTTGTCCGGCTGCCTCCTGTGCCTTTGACAAGGATGCTGACACACGTTGTTGCAGGTGTCTCCCCTTTGCCCCACATGTTGTGATGATTCGCCAATATACAGTACCCATTCAAAAGCAACAGTGCCCGGTCGCCTGCTTGTAGATGGGCACATTGGCAAGGCAGGTCTATATTTGGAACAGCCGTGCATGTACCCACAAGCCTCAAGAGACAGCCATAAAAAGCAGGTCCCGGGAAGCTGATGAAACTCAGAAGCTGTCGGACCACCGTGGCCAATGTTTCAACTGTACAGCGTCCCCCGCGACGCGTCTTGACCAGCTGCCTTCTCACTCCCATGCAGCTCCCTTGCCACTGCCTGTTGGTCCAGGTTGTCTAGCAGGGACGTCGCCTCTTGCTTCGCCTGTGCGGTTTGCTTTGGGAAACACTCATCCACTTTGCCCCCGGAGTGAGGAATGACACGACACTGTCAACAGAATGACCACTGAAAGCAATGACCCAGTCCTCAAAGATAGAACACCCTTTGCTCCGGCAGCGTCCCAGGTGGGAAGTGCCAAGAGGGCCGGTCTTATCAACCCCCAAACAAAAATACCCTCAAGGTGGGGCCGCAAAATACCCCTCCCCAGCACTGGTTTGTTTTTGAATAGTCAGGGACCCCCAAAAGCATGCTTGGCATCCCTTTTGGCTTCTCTCTAAAACCAAAGCATCCTCAAACACCCTCCAAGACCAAAAGGCTTGCGGCCCTTCTAAGAAAACAAACTCAACGTCAATCTTTGGTCCTTCCTCGCCGATCCCACCAGTCCCACTAAGCCCTCGTTCCCTGCCTGCTGAGCCTCCGCCAGCTGCAGCTCCAACTCCGAGCGCTTCTGCTGCTGCACCTCCGCCTCCAGCTCCGCCCGCCGCCTCGCCAGCGAGGGCCAGCGAGGGCCAGCGCGGGGACGCGTGGTGCGGAGGTTGGGGGAAGCTTACAGAAGGCCAGGGCTGTGAGATGCCAAAAGAAAAGGAGCAGGACGTCGGGCAGTGAATTTATGAGGGTTCAGAACCTTTAGGAAGCAAGGGCCGTTCTCAAGGCAAAAACACCTAATTTGGAGCTGCTTAAGAGTTGAGCATCAAAATGGAAGGCATCTAGCTGTGGTTCAAAAATCGAGTCTCAATTGTCACGGGAAAAAAATATTTGCCCCACTCGCGAGAAACACATACCAAAGCTGCCAAAGCCTTGCTTAGCAAGCAGCTCAACAAACGCAGGCACCTGTCGCCAGCCCAGAAAGCCCCCACTCTGTCGCCCCTGACAACAACTTTTCCGCGCAGCTCGCGCCTCTTCTCCCCCTCCTCTTGCAGGGCCTTGCTGGTTTGCTCCAGTGTCGCTTCAGTCTCCTCCAAGTCCTCCAGAAGTCAACCCCCTCTCCCCCCTTCACAAACTCAATTGCCGGATATGGGTCAAGGGGGGGGGGGGGGGCACTAGTCCTGTTTTTGGTGGTTTCTCTTGGGACCAGCCAAAAAAGCGCACCCCCAAAACCACGCGCACACACACACACACCCAGGCAGCAAATCAGCGAGAGGGAGGCCAGCCCCATGTCTGGAACAGTGATAATTAAAAGGCTAAATATTTACACGCATAGTTCACTCGTAAGTCCACTGCACCCCCAGTCTGGTTGTTCAGGCGCTTGTAGCATTCCAACATCCACTGGGGAACGGAAATGAGCACCCAAGTCATTCGCCCACACGCCACTGGCACCCGATTTCAAAGCTCGCCTCTTCCAGCTCCGTGATGTACCTGGAGAAGCGGCGAAAAGGAATCGCATCTCAGCAAACTGAAAGGTACCCTTCCAGCCCACGCGTGACCATGGAACCTGACGGAGGGGGGGATGCAAAGTGCTGGCTTGGGTATCCTTGGCAGGCTGGCCTGAAGGGAAATGAAAGGAAAACCAGCCATTCATTTGGAGGTCCCATTCTGACACATGTGAAAACCCTCGCGCACCGATTGAGACCCTTGATGACTGCAGAGAAATGCTTCACCTTCTCGTTGACAATGGTCTGGATCTCATTCACAGAGACAATGTACTTGTCACCACCTCAGGCTGAGCCGTGTTGTATGTTTTGAGATCTTTCAGGTACAAAACTATACGGAAAGTCTGCTCCAGTTCTGACTGCAAAGCCGGTCTTGAGTACAGAAGTACTAGTATGCGAAGCACATTCTCATGGCCCTGGCTCGACCAGCTTTTTTGAGTATAGAGTAGTGCACAAAGGGGCCACAAAATCGCAAGATTTGAGTATAAAAGTAGTATGCGAAGCATATTCTCTAAGTACACAAGTAGTACGCAAAGCGCCTTCTTCTAAAACCGGCCGCAACTTCACCTGCCAGCTTCTCATGCCAACTTTTCGAGAATTACTTCACCTGCCAGCTTCTCATACCAACTGTTCGAGAATTACTTCGCTGCCAGCCTCGCCTGCCAACTTTTCGAGAGAGTTACTTCACCTGCCAACTTTGCCTGCCAACTTTCCAAAGCCGAAGAGTTACTTTGCCTGCCAGCTTCTCGCGCCAGTCTTTCAAGAATTACTTCACCTGCCAGCTTCTCACGCCAACTTTTCGAGAGTTACTTCGCCTGCATCACCTCTATTCTTCCGGGCCACTCGTTGTCTTCCCCCGTAGGAGCTTGGCTACACGGCGGCTACGCGGAACACACTGTTTGATAAGTGGCTCTGCGGGGGGCAATGCCGGGGCTCCGCGAAAGCGCGTTGACAAAGTAGTAGTAGTAGTAGTAGTAGTAGTAGTAGTAGTAGTAGTAGTAGTAGTAGTAGTAGTAGTAGTAGTAGTAGTAGTAGTAGTAGTAGTAGTAATAGTAGTAGTAGTAGTAGTAGTAGGAGCAGCAGCAGCAGCAGCAGTAGCAGTCGCAGTCGCAGCAGCAGTATCAGTAGCAGTAGCAGTAGCAGTAGCAGTAGCAGTAGCAGTAGCAGTAGCAGTAGCAGTAGCAGTAGCAGTAGCAGTAGCAGTAGCAGTAGCAGTAGCAGTAGCAGTAGTAGTAGTAGTAGTAGTAGTAGTAGTAGTAGTAGTCTTAGTAGTAGTAGTAGTAGTAGTAGTAGTAGTAGTAGTGGTAGGCTCCTGGTAGTAGTAGTCGTAGTTAGTTAGTTAGTTAGTCAGTTAGTTAGCTAGTTAGTTAGTTAGTTGGTTAGTTAGTTAGTTAGTTAGTTAGTAGCAGCAGCAAACTTAGCCCGGCAGCACCCAGCTGCACACAAACTGCAGCACCTAGCAGTGCCCAGCCGTACCCAGTCGAACGCCGCATGCGAGTGCTTCAACCGTATCACCTGGAAACCAAAGTAACACATTTGTTCAAGCGACATACGCTCAGTGTCATATCTGCTCCCCGGGATCCCAAATGTGGCAAATAAAAACATGCTCCAACGATTAGGAAAGAAGGATTGCACCACGCGCGCTGTTTTGCTGAAGCAGCCAGCCGGGTCAGGCAGTTTTGCCGGCGAAGGCCGCGGCCCGGCACTTCCTCCAGCTTCCGGCTTCCGCTGCAGTGTGGTGCTCCACCTTTGTTGTTGATTTGTCCACCTCTAGGCATGTTTGCTTGAAGAAAAGAAACGCCATTCAATTGCAGTTGCTCACGGCAAGCGGTGGGAAAGCATCTTGTATGAAATCCTGAACACAAGAAGGTGATGCAAGATGAAGCGGCTAGCCACAGATTCCCCAGATAGTGTATTTGCATATCGGACTGGTACGCATATAAAATAATAAAGACATGTGAATCTGTCTATTCCTTCTCCTTTCCAGTTCATTTTGGTACACGCTGGCAAGGTGCTCAGGGTCATACTATTGTCTGGCCAGAGAAACCGAGATGAAGAGAGCAGCCCCAACGGAAATGGATGGCGACTTGGAACCCGACGGAGCTACCAACGGCTCCAAACAAGCGCAGCCTTCCTGACATGCCAAAGGCACACGAGCAATGCAAGGCTGCGCCCAGTGACACCTCCGGCCAAGATGGCCTCATCTGGAGGAGCACTTGGACTCACTCGGAATCACTGGGAAACGGCGGCCTACTGACACTCAAGCTGTCAACAGGTTCACAGAACTTCAGCCAAGTTGCTCACCCTAAGTGTGGGCCCCCAGCTCTCCGATTTTGCGCGCTCAGTAGCGCAAGCAGCAGCTTGAACCTGCAAAGCAGGCCAGCACCTTGGAGATGGACGTCTGAGAATGGGAGTTGTGCATGCAGAATGAGCTTTGCCAACCCGCGGTGCAGCGAAGGTGAATCTTGCGATGGGAATTGCACGCTCGAGTCAACGTCACGAGTACTCCCAAGGCGAGAAAGGAAGACAATTTCCAGCACGATGGCGTAGCATGTCAAACTCCAAGGTGATCACGCAGCCCAGTGTCTGAGACATTTACTTGAACCAGAACTTGCTGGTTTAGTTGTGTGACCAATGCGCCACTGCAGGGCTACTCCATGTGTCTTCCCGGAAAGCTGAGAATCAGGTTGACAACGGGCTGTCCAGCGCTTGCACCAGTGGAACAGGTGGTGCTACGTTGCTTGCTCGCTTGTCTGACACCTGCTGCTGTCATACAAACTGTTGTCATCTTAGACTCACGGCGTCCGTGCTGTTACTTGAATCGACTGCATTCACCTTGAGAAGAACTCGGAGGCTCATCCCAATATCAAGCTCTGTTGCTGGCAGGCTCAACTCATTGCCCAAGAACTGAGACGTAGTTGTTTCTGTGTGCGCGCATTAAAGGGAGACACGCAAATGATAAAGCTGACTGACACCAATGCATTGTCTCCCACACGGCTGCCTGTTGACATTGGGCAGTGTGACTGAAATAAGCGAACCGCAAACCCATCAAAAGTAGGTCCTTTGCCTTGCAGCTTGCCAGTGGCCAAAGGAAACAACTGAGCTTAGATGATGCCAACGCGGCGCTGCAAGTTTCCAATTAAGCCGCACACTGCTAAGGCATAGTGGATTACTATCTGGAGTATTTGCAAATATGACTCGTCCCAAACAACCCATGTGTGCAATATTCCCACATTGGTACATATGACCGACATGGACTGTCTGGGAATGGCAACCGTCAGACGCCCGCAGCGCCTTGAATGGCTAATGGCAACCGCACGCTGATGTTGCGGCTTTGTTGAAAGGCCCGAGCAATAGGGTCAATGCGACCAGTCGGCCTTGGCCCGAGTCCAACAGAAAAGAGAAAAAATCAGCACGGGCGTCCCGGCACAAAGTGACTCTCCAGCGCGGTTGTCCAGTGCGGAATAATCAAACGTGCTGCAGCTCCCCTGGAGGTGAACGTCCACCCATGCCTTCAAGCACAGCACAACAGCTAATTCCAGGGTTTCAGGGAAGGGTACCGTCGTACCCAAGCTTCTGAGGAAACGCCTACTTCTGCATTTGCGGAGTGAGCTTACCTCAGACCCTGAAACCCCCTAGTGAATGCTACTTTGACCACGCCTGTCTTGCCGGCTTCTCACCATATCAATAGTATAATTGTGTGCGTCCGAGTACATGGAGAATCGGCCAACGTTGAGCCGGCAAGCAAAGCTGCCTCTCACAGTTTGGCAATGCGCTCCTCATGGCGTCCAGCGTGGCCGAGAAAGGTCTTTGCTAAAGGTCGTGAGCGCCTGCTGCCGGCTTTACCTGTGACGCTCTCTCACAAAGCGCCGCAGCATATCCTCCAAGAGCCTTGCGGCCCCAGTCAGCTTAAGCTGACGCTGCTCATCAGGGCCACTAGCAGATTTATTGGCCACAGTCAACCGCTGAGCAATAGTTTGTAGCACTTTGTGAGAGTAAGCCTTCGTGAGTGCAATTGAGCAAGATTGCTGTTTGACTATGCTGAGATTCCCAGTCTCAGCCGCTCAGCATAGAACAACTGGCCACGCCTGGCCTTGTTTTGAGCCTTGCTGAGTGGTTTTGAGCACTACCGAGTGCTACTGACCGCTACTGAGAGCTTCTGACTGTTACCAAGAAAGTCGGTTGCACATTTTAGACAGCGATTTGGGGCAGCCTTGCGCCTTGCTTGAAGCTGCTCATCGGCAGGGGCGCCAGCAAATCGATCGGCAGCCCAGCCTTGCCCCACTCAATTCGTGGCGCGCCAAGGTGGACGTAAAAGCCTGCTGGCTTTACCGACGCTGTTGCAAAATGCGGCTGCACATCCTGCGGTCTTCCAGGCATCTGCAGCCGTGGCCGTGCATCAGCGCGGCAAATCACAAACAATTGTCAAGCGACATACGCTCGGTCTGATATCTGATCCCCGACCCAAAAAGATGTGGCAAATGAAAAGAAATAGCTCCAAATATTGGGAAGGAAAGATTGCACCGCACGCGCTGCTCCTCTGCGCCAAGCCATCTGAAAGGTGAGACGCCTCCGGTCAGGCATGCGGCGCTTACGGCCGCTGCACCGGGCCGCTGCGCAGCTGGCAACGCATCTTTGACTTTGCCAGCACGCCGGCGCCACCATACAAATGACCCGCAACGTATGTGGGATGCCCGTAGAGCTCTTTCAAAATGTAGACTTTCTTCAAGACTTTCTGGTTGTGTTTGTGCGGCTCAGGGCAAATGCCCCGCAACGTTTTGAATGGTCAGCCAAGATCCAAGGAAATGCTCTGCAACGTGTCCGAGTTGCTTCAGGCACTGTGCACTCTTGCGCAGGGCAACACGAGGCTCATTCATCGGTGCGGATGCTGCATGCCTGTTGGCCACCTGCAAGGCCTGGCCACTCCACTGGATAGGAAGGCAGTAAGCCTTCCAGCCGAAAACATGCACCTTAAACGGCTGCAAGCAAAGCTGCCACCGCTGCCCTTGTTGTTTGCGATGTGTTTACGCCGATGTGCCTCTCATAGCTGCCGATTTTTGTGCTGAATGTTTGTCCCTGGATGGACAAGACCGACGTGGGTGGCTGAAGGGCCTTAAATGAAGCCAGGACGTGGATGCTACTTGCCAACGCCCGTGGCTGCAAGGCTGCGGCACTATGCAGATTTCGCACGCAAGGTTTGCGCTTTCCCATCCTTTGGGATATTTGCACAGTCGCCTCAATCGCAGGGAAGATCATAGGGCATGAAGCTAGAAACAGTGATCTACGGTGAAGACTTTCCCGGACCCCAGTGGGGACAATCGCTTTTGGCAAGTCTGTTGTTGTTGGATTCCCTGCTGCGACCTGGGCTGAACCCAAGATCGCGTGTTGCGCGTCGCCATGGGTCCTGAAAACATCAATCTGTGCTGCAGCCTGGCTACCACGCTGGAGACGAGTGATTTGCCTCATCCTGCACATGCTCCAGTTTTCTGCGAACCCTGGCACAAAGCGGCGTATTCCCAAATTGCCCTCTTGGTTCATGGTGCGGAGATCAACACACTCCTTCACCGCGGAATCATCGGATGTGCTTCAGCTCCGCCGAGCTCCCGGAGCGGCCGGCACTCGTTCTTGGCTGGACCGCGTGGAGATATGACTTCAGCTGGCCGGTTCAGCAGAAGGCCCGACGCCTCCGTGAACCTGGGGTTTACGGTGGGTCAGCCTGCACAGCCACGCGAGCTCTTGAATGCTCTTGTGATGTGTGAAGCGAATGAATGTTCACGCGACTCTGGATGTAACATGGCGATGTAACACCAGAGGTCGAACTAGTGACTTTGCTTGCGAACCATGACGCGGGTGCGGTGTGCAAAACATGGACACTTATGAATGTGTAAGTGTGTACTGGGCCCAAGTATCAAACCCGATGCTCCAAAGTGCCATCAAGGTGATTGACAGGTCTTGCCAAAATCCGGCATGCTTCGCCGACATGCTTACTTGACTGGCCCAAAGACAAGCTTCGGCTTTTTGGGTTGGCCAGAATCGAGAGACTGCTGATCCCAAATTGGTCGACCGGATTTGAGTATGCGTCAAAACCAAACCAACCTGCACAGGGTACCCTCGAAACACCCACGCCCCATTTGCTTTCAGGCGTTCCCCCCCGCACGGCCGGGCTTCCGACCATACTCCGGGGCCCTCTGCAGGCCAGACACGTCCAGCGACACCACCTGCGCCTGGGTTGTTCTTCCCTACCAGTGGACCGGGACCAGTGGTGGGGTGTTCAACTGGTCAAAAGAAAAATGGGTACGTTGGCTGTTGATGGCAAGGGGAGCAACCTGAAGCGCATCGACAAAGATTATGGTATGGAGTTTCGTCCAAATTGCAGACGTCTATGTCTATCTGGGTGCGTCTATGCAAAGGCGCCTCTGCCCCCGAGTCGAACACATTTGCCAAGGACAAAGACCGTCTTGGGCACACATCAACCCCTCCACCGTTCGTTGGGGAGATCTGCCGTCCGCTGGCCGGCCTCATGATTTCGCGCTTGTCAACTAGGTGATGAGGAATAATCCACATTCTGACTTACCCATCAAAAGATTGCTTTTTCGGCAGGACTCCCATAATTATAACATCACGAGGAAAACTCACTTTTAACTCGGCCCAAATGATCTCCTTGAACTTGCTTCTGAAGCGGCTCATGTTGGCCCGAACTGTCATTTTGACCTGCGCAACTAAAGCAGGCCATGCGAAAAGGGGACCCTTGAGGCAGTACAGCTTCAAGTGCTACGCAAACAAACTACTTCCATTGCCCCATGGAATTCACGCAAGGCGCCCAAAGCCCTGCCTAGCAACTCCGCGTTTCTTTGCGACTCCATGCGCCTTTCGCGGGGTCCAAGCTCCATCTCCCGTGTCTCAAGGCCTGCGGCTCGATCTTCTGCAGCGCCTCGGTCACCTCGAGCCCCGAAGTACGTGAGCCACGAAAAAGCAGAAGTAAAAAAAAGAGGATGCTATCCTGAATGGGGCATGAATTCAAGCTCTTCCCCCGAGCTTTGGGAGATCTCTCCTTCTGCCTTCCGCGTGTCTTTCTTCCTGCCCATTACTTCTTTCTGCGTTTATTATGTTTTTTTCCGTCTGTTTTGCATCCGTTTATTGTTCTTTCTTTCAGCTATAAATGTCTTTATATATGGCCGTCTCTCTTTCTTTCCTGCTCGCCTCCAGCGGCTCCGACTCCTCGGGCTCGTCTGCTGCCTCCGGCTCCTGCACCAAGCCGCCCGTTCCGTTCGATCCAACGTTGGGGTTTGAGGGTTGTTGTTTGTCAGAAGTGGATTGGTATCTTTTGCAATGCGGGTGAGGCGTGAGGCCTTCGCATGCCAAACATGGTCCTACAGTCACTGACTGCAGCGAGCGCACGAGCTGTTGCAAAGAGCCAAGGGCCCCGAGCTTCTTTTCTGTCGGTGGGTGGGCGCTTTTGGGCTTTCAGCTTGCGTGTTTTTGTGTCTCTTGGCGGTTGTTGTCGCTTGGTGCCACCCTAAACCAGCACTATACAATCCCCAAAGCTGAAAGCAAACTTACCAACCCGAAACCAAGCCAATCCTAAACCAAGCCAATCCTGAACCGAGCCTAAACCCACACTAAACCAGCACTGCAGCAACCCCCAACCAGCCTATGCCTACCATAACCCCCCCAACCCACCCCACACCCGCACTAAACAAACAGTAAGCAAACCCTTTCCCAACCGCACTAAACAAGCACTAAACTATCCTACCACCCTAAACCAACTCTAAATTCGCACTACAGAAGAAACCTTACAGAACCTTGTACCCACCCTAAACCAACCCTAAACGAATCCTAAACCCTGAACCAAATTAAAGCTTACCCTTTTCCAACCCTAACCAACCCTAAACCCTAAACCCTGAACCTACCAACCCGACACCCACCCTGAACCAGCTTTGAGCTACCTCAGAATCAACCCCACAACAACCCTAAACCAACCCTGAATCCCCACTAAACCCAGCCAAAACCACAACTAAACCCACCCCTAAACCCACACCGGCACCAAACCTAAACAAACTCCACCATTCCTAAGCAACCCTCAGCAGCCCTAAATCAACCAGCCCTAAATCCACCCTAAACCAGCACGAAAAAAGCCCCTACATCCTAAGCCACCACCAAACCAATTCAACCCTCGACCTTAAACCCGGCCCTAAACCAACCAGCCCTAAACCAACCTACAGCAGCCCCAAACCCACGCTAAACCAGGACTAAACAAAAACCAAAACTCAACCCTAACAAACTCTAAGTCCTATACCAACCCTAAACCACCCACAACCAACCCTGAACCACCTCGAAACCATACACCAGCACTACGTCACTCCTAAACCCTAAACCCACCACAAACCCATTTAAACCCAACCCTAAGCCCACTCCAAACCAACCCCCGACCTAAACCAACCAAAAACCCACTTTAAAGGAAACCCAAGCCCCACCCAAAACCCGCCCTAAACAATGGCTTCTTCGAAAAAGTGAACCGTCGGCTGCGCTTTGGAAGCATTCTTCCTCGAAAAGGTGAACCCCTGCAGAGTTTGCAGCTTTTTGCGGCCAAGCTTCTTGGAAAAAGCAAACCCTCTGCAAACTTAGCTGCGTTTTGCGAAGAAGCTTGGTCGCTAAAAGCTACAAACTCCGCAGAGCGTTCACCTTTCGAAGCACTTTGTTTCAAAAAGAGAGCCCTCTGCGGACTTTGCTGTGTTTTGGAAACAAGCTTCTTCCAAAAGGTGAACCCTCTGAGGAGTTTGTAGCCTGCGACCAAGACGGGACTGCCGCGTCGAACCCAGGACTTCCGCAGAGCCAATACCACACACAAATACACACATCATTTGGAAGGATGATAATAGATTTAATGGACGGAGCGCCCCTCCAACAAACTTGAGTCAGCTTTTCAACTCCTTGGCCAACCTAGCCCTTCACTGTAGCAACTTTCGGTCATTGCAATCATTCGCAACTGACACCTCCTCTGCATCAGTACTGGGCCCGAGAGACCATCGTTTCAGATTGTCAGCAAGGCAATCTGCCATCGAATGCCCCAATAGTGCCATCACCCCTGCATTGCAAGCTGGGACTGTGCGCCATGACTTTGAGTTGCTTTTGCCCACATCGCATTTCTTCTCGCCCATCGCCCTGTCCTCGGTCTTGCCTCAGTCTCAGCAAGGTGGTTCGGTACAAACCATCACAAAAGCCCATACGGACCCTCATTGCCGTCATCTCAGGAATCAACACCATGCTGTGGAAGGAAGATGTATTGCCATTCATTCTGAACGTACGGCTGGCTACTAAAAAGTGGCGGTTTTCCTACAGCGTAGAACAGGCAAAAACAGCCTGTCTCTCAATGGAATCCAGGATTTGAAGCTAGCGGCGTCGACATTTGCACTTGCCCTTTGACGCAAATAATTTGCCGGCATGATGCCAACCCGTGAACCTTCCGCATTCCGGTTTGACATCTGGCAAATCAAATTCTCGACCTTGAAGGAGTGAAAATGAAAAAAGTGAACAATACATTGCAGAATTCCCTTAAGGGGATGACTGAACCAAACTGAATTTAAATAATGTCTGCCAGCTTTCACCCAAAACGACAAACCCCGCAGGGCCAAGGTGCGGAGCAGAACCTCCATGTCCTCCGCCAGTTGCTCCATGAGGTCGTGGGACTCATCCGCCTGACCTTGGTTTAATCCTACCCACGACTTGGTTTGATGAAATGGCTTTACCGGGTTTAATGGTACCAAGATACCCACGACTTAAGGAAAACTGCTCCGACTTGGATTTATGGTACCCAAGCCCACTCTAATTGGAGCTCTGGCAAAAGTTGATTCTGGCCAGCGCCCCCTCTCTCTCTCTCGCGGCCCACCTGCCCTCGCCGTGCGAGACGAGCGGGGAGCTAGCGGACTTGGTCGCAGCCAGGCCTCCCGAGCGGAACCGCTAAGCGCAGTTCTCAAGGCTTTTCAAAGGCCGCCCATTTCGGGAAAATCAGATCGTTGCCAGGAGGTTGGTCAAATTTGGGTATCATGTTTAAGTGGTTGGTGGACATCAGAATTCTTGTCCAATCACTTTGGAGGTGGTTCCCATAGTAAAGCTCGTAGCCATTTGTTCCTCTGCCCATTGAAGAGCAACCTGAATGCATTCAGCCGATAGTCAAAGAGAGAACTTGCATAGTTTCGGAAGAGCCAGGCCATGTCAAAAAAAAAAAAAAAACAACCACACGAACACTAGAAACTCTCAACGGTGGAATTCAACCTCGACAACAACATCATCATCATCATCATCATCATCATCATCATCATCATCATCATCATCATCATCATCATCATCATAGACGACGACCACCACAACAACGACGACGACAAAAACAAAAACAAAAACAAAAACAAAAACAAAAACAAACAAGCAAACAAGCAAACAAGCAAACAAGCAAACAAGCAAGCAAGCAAGCAAGCAAACAAACAAACAAACAAACCACCAACCACCAACCAACCGAAAGACCAACAGAAAGACCAAGACACAAACAAACAAACAAACAAACAAACAAACAAACAAACAAGCAAACAAACAACAAACAAACAAACAGAC